GTTTTCAAATTTAATAGAGGTTTTAAGGGGCTGGAGAGATGACTCAGTGATTAAGAACACTGGCTCTTCTTGCAGAAGACCCGGCTTCGAATCCCAGCACCCACATGGCAGCTAACAACCACCCGTAACTCCAGTTGCAGGGATCCGACAGCCTCTTCTGACCTCTGCAGGCACTGCATGACACAGGTGCACTTACCTACATGCAGGCAATACATGCATACACATAAAATAAAAAAACCTGTTTTAAAAAACTTAATAGAGGTTCTAAAAGCACTCCTTTGTAACGTTCTGGATCTTTCTGCTGTCTGTTCTGATGTTTCCTCTTTCATCTTTGGGTTTCCTTTCTGTTTTATGGTTAACTGGGCCAACAGTCCATCTATCTTATTTTTTCAAAGAACTAGTTCTTGGATTCACTGATTCTTTGTATTGTTTTGTAACTTAGATGGGCTGCTGAATAGAAAACATATTCTTTGGTGCTTAGGTGGAATATTTGGTAGATGTCTGTTAGGTCCATTTGCTGTACAGTATCATTTAATTCAGATATCTGTGTACTGTCTGGTTGATCTATTTGAGAAAGTGGGGTACTGAAGTCACCTACTGAGTTGGGGTTAATCTTTGTCTTAAAGTCCTGTAGCACTGTTCTTATTAATTTGGTGCATGTATGTTCATGATTGTAATATCTTCTTGGTCAATTGTTCCTTTGATCAGAATGAAGTAACACTCTTTATCTCTTGATTTACTTTGAAGTCTATTTCATCAGAATTGCAACCCCTGATTGTTTCTTAGCACCTCTTTGCTTGGAATATTTTTTTAAATTCTTTCACCCTAAGGTAGTGCCTATCCTTGAAGGTAAGTAGTTTCATAAAGACCACGAAAAGATGAATTTTGATTCTTAATCCATTCAACTAGCCTGTGTCTTTTGAATGGAGAGTTGAGGTCATTTATATTTAATTATTGAAAGATTAATTTATTTGCATTCTTGGTCTAATTTTGTGTTTCCACATTATACCTTCATTTAGTTTCTGTTGCTTCTTGGGTATAGTCATTCCTTTCTTCAGGCTTTTGTATTGCAAGTATTCTCTGTAGGACTGGTTTGGTGGACATGAATTCTTTCAGCCTACTCATGTCATGGAAGATTGTTCTTCCCATTTCAACTACAATACAGTTTTGGCACCTATAGTGATTAAGAACTTGGAATACTTTGGTCCAGGCTCTTCTTGGGTTCATAGTTTGTACTGAAGTCAGCATTAATTCTGATGGGTTTTCCTTTATATGTGACTTGTTTTTCTCTTACAGTTTTCAGTATTCTTTGTTCTGTACATTTAGTGTTTTTACTGTGATATGCCATGGGGAGTTTCTTTTCTGTTCCAGTCTATATGGTGTTCTATGTGCTTCTTATACTTGTATGGTTATGTCTTTCCTTAATTTTGGGAAATTTCCTTCTATAATCCTGTTAAAAAATCTCAATACCATTTACCTGGAATTCTTCTCCTTCCTCTATCCCTATGATGCCTAAAATTGGTCTTTTCATGGTTTCCCACATGTCCTGCATATTCCACTTCTGTTTTCTAAAAAATGTTTCATATTCTTGGTCCAATTCTAATACTTTATCATCCACTCTTGGTATTCTGCTGCTCTTCTGATTCACTCTATTGGTGAGGTTTCTCCTGCTGTTTCAAATTGGCTTTGAGTTTACTTCCTTTATTTCAGCCTGAGTTTTCTTGATTATTTCTACTTCCTTTCTGAGTTCAGTCAGAAGTTTATCCCTATCCTCCTTTAGTTCTTTGACTTGTGCATTCTTTAAACTCACTGAGAATTCAATGTTCTCATTGAACAATGTTGCTCATGTTTATAACTGTTCTCTTAAATTCTGTGTCCTGGGTTACCTCTAGGAGTTTCTCATGTAGAACTCATCTATAGGACTGGTGGTGTTTGGTTGGAACACAGTATTTTTGTTTTTCATATTATTTTTTCGTTGTGGTTTTGACATCTGGATTTTTTGCTGCTTGTGATTCTGCTAAGAAACTCAAGTCTTCCTTTGTTGAGTTGAAGTTTGAATCTGTTGTATTATTGATATACCTTGGTTGCTTTCTGATTGAGTATGAAAAACTTGTTGGTCTAGGCTTCAGGTTCTCTTTATTTTATATTGGAGGAACCAGATGGCTCCAGCCAGGTTATTCAGAAGCTCTCCAGGAGAGCATAGCAGCCCTGGCTAGTTAGGAGCACTTCAGTTGCTTCAGATGGATAGTGCCAACATCCAAGAAGAGGAGATGGGAAATGGAAGTGCTGGTCCCTACTAGTCATCAGGGAAGCCTAAGTCCTGGGGCAGTGGGAGGGACCGCAGATGGTCCCAAAGCAGGGGGATGGGCAGTGTGATTTGGGCAGCTTACCCCTGGAGGGCAAGTTAGGTGCTCTCAGGTAGTCTAAAGAGGTCTGCAAGGAGAGGTGATGGGACAAGGAATTCCAGGCCCCTACTACCCAGCAGAGAACACTGGCCCTGGAGCAGAGGAAGGGACTACAGATGGGCATGGTGCAATGTGGGTGCGCTCAGGCCATAACTTTTTTTTTTTTTTTGGTCTTTCTAAGACAGGGTCTCCCTGTAGCCCCAGCTGCTGCTCTGGAACTATGTAGAGCAGGCTGGCCTTGAACTCACAGAGCTCTGCCCCCCAAGTGCTGGGAATAAAGACAAGCACTACCATAACCGGCCTTGTAACTTCATTTCTAACGTTACACTATTATTTGGCTTACTGAAAAGAAAAGGAGGGGAAAAAAGCCTGGTAACTTCTTTAGGTCAGTTAAAGGGCTTATGTCTAGAAGGGATATTTTTAAAAGTTAATCTTACATCCCACACTCTAAGTTAATGACTCTAGAAACAAGACTAATAGCAGGAAAAATAAACCTGCCAACATCAACCCACTCATTAGCAGAAATGCAGTTTAACTCAAATTGTACGACCAAAGTATAATGCTATTTGCCCAAACTTCCCTAACCATCAGCAGAGAGGAAAATCTGCTTTTAAAATCTAAATAACCTAAAGTACAAAGTCAGCAATGGTCCAACTCCTGAGGATGTGCAGGACTGAATGAGTGGGAAAGAAAAGCCGAGGGATTAACACTCCGGTCTTTAAAAAGTCACAGTACCACAAATACATTAAACTTGCCTATGAATTAAATAAGATGCTGCTGCTGCTGCTGCTGCCGCCGCCTTTTAAAATAAGAAATAGTGTAGGCTCTGCCCTTAAATGTAAACGCAGGACATTAAAGAAGGCTGGAGAGATGGCTCGGCAGTTAAGAGCACTGAAGGCTCTTGCAGAGGACCCAGGTTCAATTCCCACCACCCATATGATGGCCAACAACCATCTGTGACTCCAGTTCCAGGGGATCCAATGCCCTCTTCTGATTCCGTGGGCATTGCACAACATGGGTGCACCTACCTACATACAAGCAATACACCCATACACATTAAATAAAAATAAATATTTTTAAAAATCAACTAAAAACCTGAAATCATCGTTGGGGATGGTGGCACACACCTGTAATCCCAGTACTTGGGAGGCAGAGGCAGAGGGAGTCTCTGTGAGTTTGAGGCCAGCATAGTCCACACAGTGAGCCCCAGACCACCTGGGGCTATAGGGAGACCCTGTCTCAAAAAGACCAAAAAACAAAAACAAAAATGAAACAAAAAAAAAAAAAACCCTGAAATCATCTGACACCCAAATTTTTGGGACCAGACATCGTAACTGAAACTACACTGATCTACCTTCTCCTAAATCCAACCCCTCACAAAAATGAGAACCCAAACAGTCCAAACACAATCAGATCTGCATTCTGACCACAAGGGACTTTGAAATTTTTCTGAAGCACATGAGCATCTGCAGGCTGTCTTCTTACAGTTTTTTGTCTTAAGCTAAAGCCATACTCCTGAAGCCACTTGCTGACTCACAGCAATCCGGACATGCAAACAGATGATGTCAAAAGTACCATCTTACTCACAGATGTTTAGGCTGATTCAACATTTTAGTTCCTATTCTGAGTCTTCCATAAGGTGCAAGACATCCTAATCATGACATAACGTCTCTCCTGGTTCTACAATGATCCACCCTCTGGCACAGTGCATCTATCTACAGCTGTATCACTGAAACAGACAAGTTTTCCTAACCTTCAACCTCCAGTACAGCTCTGTAGAACTTGTCATCATGGTTGACTAGAAAGAACGTGGTTCAATCTTTTCATTTCAATTTACTGCCATGGTGTCAATCTCTCTACTTCATCTGGCTACCTTTCCTCTTCCCCACTTGCTGAGGTCAATAATCCCATCATCCTCAGGGCCCTGAGCTCAGACCACTTGCCAGCCTCTTTGCCAAGGGAAGGTCACTGAAGGGGTGACAGAAGCTCCAGAGAAAGCAGGAGTCTTCCACCACCGTGCTGGTGCCAGCCCTTCTACACTTGTACACAGGGACAGCTTGCTACTATTTTTAAATAAAGGACACAAACCTTCTGTGACTGCCTTGTATGTGGTCGCTATATTATACACATCATTTTAAAGCCAGGGCCTTTTTCGTCACACCACTGAAACATTTATACAAGTTCTGAGTAAACCTTTAACCCTTGAGTTCTCTGCTCATTCCTTCACTATTACCAGTACAGGAAAAGGCCTATGTCTCTGCAATGGACCTACAGAGGGAAAACAGGGCAATATGGGCATGTACATCCATTGAGCAGCACTCTGTTGCAGCCTTGAGACAGGACAACTAAACAGCATGTTACTAACAGCCCAGGCCATCCTCAATTCACTTTGACATAGATAGGCACGATATATGAACTTAATTCCCACTCTGTCTCTCAATGCGTATGGTACACAACAACACTCAAACAAGTTGGGCCTCTCTGAGCTCACACTGACCTTTCACAGTAGGAAGCTAGCCTCTGAGGTAGGGCTGCTGAGTTCACATGTAAAGGTTGGGAAGTGCAATGGTATAAGGAGATATTTCACATGAGGACTATATATCTGTATATTTATTACAACTGTACACCAGAGGGCAATAAGGCATCTTGACAAAGGGATCCTTCTCATCATTGGCCTGCATAGGCCTGTGTGGGCTAGTGGTAGTCTGCTAAAAGGCCAGAAAGAAATTTGTTCCAGGGAAACTATCTTAACAGATAATAAATAATGGGTAAGTCATATGCCAACCAACTCAAGAGATGGCCCAGAGACAGTTCCCATAAACTATTACCAGAGAAGAGGGGCAAGAAGCTTGGCAGCCTTCCTTCCACTTACTCTTCACCTCTCTCCATCTGTTTGCCCAATCTCTGCCAGCTGGTTAAAGGCACATTGTGTTTGGTAAAGGAACTGAGCTGTATTAGCCTTTACCTTTGGAAGTTCCAGGCCCAGCCACAGTCCTTACAGAAACAGACCTCCAGGCTTAGCCTGACAGAAGAAGAAAAAGCCAGGAGAATACACACATCTCAATTTCATGAGTCTCTCTTTCTACTCCTACACCTAAAGATGGTGGTTTTGTCATGAATTCAAAAATTCTTCCAAAGTTCTCATTGATGATTCATACAGGAACCTGAAACAAAGGAAGACATAGATTAAGTTCCAGAAAAAGTGAGAATTTAGAAATGGTGTACAAGCAGACATACTTGAAAACAGTCCATGATCTGTGAATGCACCCTGACCTATTGATGGGTCAGCAGACAGTTGTAGGCAGGCCTTAGCACCTGTTGCAGAACATACACTCTGGGGCCCAGTAACACCTGCTCACCTGGCAGCATCCAACTTGGGAACACTTCTCTCAGAACTACTTTTCTGAGCTCTACCCACAGCACACAGAAGCACAATGAGGCTTGTAGTTCCCAGCATTCAGTGAAGACTCTACTTCATACAAGAAAATGAGATAAACAAAAACTCTCCTCCCACCACCATGTTCTGCTGCCATGGCTATCCCTTCTACCTCTGGTGGCCCAAGTCCTGCCCTATCTACCCAGGCCAGGCGATGGAACATGAAGATGATCTCTCCCTTCCTTTACAGGGCATCTACTATAATTCAAGAATCACTGCTGGACAACTGCCCGCCCGTGTGTCACTGCACATTTAAACACGTTCCTTTACAAAGTGTATGGTTCTGCAACGTTCCCTTTTTTCAGCTAACATTCCTACTTGGCTTCAGTGTGTGTTGTTTGTTTGAAATCTGCCCCCAAGTGCCCTCTCCCAAGACAGTCTTCAAATTCCTCCCAGACACAAAACAGACACCCATCACCTTTCACTTTAAATAGCAGCTCAGCTATATTAACATTCTGAGCCTGCAGAGGTCAGGGGACTGTCCTCTTGGGCAGCACTGTGAATGAAAAAAACTGATGGCCAGCCTCCCTGGCCTAGCGTACTGACTGCCTGTCTAGTGTCAACTAAGGACTGACGTTTAAATTTTTTTATTTTATGTGTATGAGTGATATGCCTGCATGTATGTAAGTGTACCTATGTCATGCACTGCCCACAGAAGACAGAGTGTTGGGATTCCCTGGAACTGGAGTTATAGACAATTGTTAGCTGCAATGTGGGTGCTGGGATTCAAACCAACGTCTTCTGCAAGAAGCTATAGTCAGTGCTATTAATCACTAAGTCATCTCTCCAACCCCAGAACTGACACTTTAAATTTCAGGTAGCCACATTAAGAGACAGAAACAGACAAGAACTTCTTTAAAATACTTCTTTAACCAGATGTATCTAGTACACATCAGCTGTCATCAACACAGTCACTACAGATGTAACTTACAGTCTGGCACTTGCGTCTGTCTACCTACCACCACTCACACACTCAGAGGCCTTTGAGTTGGCAGCAACAATCCAGAAAAGGTTTAAGATTTTTCTGCTTATACATGGAATCATGAATTCTATCAAGTTACTTGTGTGTTTTAAGTTAATCTCATGACAGAAAGCAGTCTTTAGATCACTTCTTTTGCTAGAGGGGTCTCTTCAGTTACGATTACTGCATTTGTCAGTACACCTCTCCAGTGTGTGCACAGACCATCAGCCTGGGCCATCCTTCACAGCTGAACAGGCTCTTTTCAGACTTTGATTACCATCTGCCTGCTTACCCTCTATGTTGTTGAGTTAAAAGCTCCGGCTGGCCTGACAAGGCACCCACCTGTGGGTGTTTAGCTGGGCTAAAATAAACACCTCATGGGTACAGGTGGGATATAGACTATAAGGATACCACATAGAAACAGTAGACGGCTGCCCTGCCCTGTGGACACCAGGGACCCCCGAAGCTCCACCAGCTCTCCCAACCTCAGAGATAGAAAAGGTGTCACCTCAGGTCAGCTCTTTAGGAACTGAGACAGCCAGGACCCTCCCAGGAATCCACCTCGCTGGTCCTTGGCTAGCACCATTGCCTCAGAGCTTGCTCCCAAGCTCCAGGACCCCTCAGGAGAACAGCCTTCTCTGTCATGTACTGGTCCACACACTGATGGCTCAGGGGACAGAACCAAGATAGAGGGAAAGTAGCACAAATCACTACCCTCAATTCCAAGTATCACTGCCTGCAAAGTAGACTAAAAAAAAAAAAAAAA